GGCCTTATTAAACCTCATACAGTTGGCCTCGACCCATTGATTCAGCCTGTCCACATGCCTCTGCAGAGCCTTCCTACCCTCGAGCAGATCAACACTCCTGTCCAATTTGGTGTCAACTGCAAACTTACTGAGGGAGCACTCAATCCCCTCATCCAGATTATCGACAAAGATATTAAACAAGACCGGCCCCAGTGCTGAGCCCTGGGGAACACCACTTGTGACCGGCCACCAACTGGATTTAACTCCATTCACCACAACTCTCTGGGTTCGCCATCCAGCCAGTTTTTTACCCAGGAAAGAGTACAGCTGTCTAAGCCACGAGCCACCAGTTTCTCCAGGAGAATGCTGTGGGAGACACTGTCATTGACTCTTGCTGGGCTGCTGGTCAATGATGTCCAGGGCTCTTGTTCCTCTGGCACTTGGAGGACGAATTTTGTAGCTCAATAGCAGAGCATTGCATGGAGGGAGGAGAAATGTCCATTTGAGACACTGTGAAGAGACTGTGTGTGTGCATAAATAGAAAACATAACATGAAACATTCCTATATATATATATATAGGCAGGACACCAGTATGCTGGAATGGGGAGATGTCACTACTCTTGTGCTTGTGACGCGATAACAGGAGATCAGAAAACTGCTTTACCAAATGTGTCTCTCCCATTCAGTTTCTCCCTAGTATTCTTTTTGCTCAGTCCACTCCAAGAATGGTGAAGGAGTTGCTGTGATGTGGGATTTTGTCTTAGAACTTTCAGCTCAAGATGTTTTGCTTTATTTTTGTACTTCAGGCCAGAAGCATCAGGACGTTGAAGCTGAACTGCTGACTTCTCGAAGTATGGTGGCTGTCTTTGACTATAACCCTAAGGAGAGCTCTCCAAATGCAGATGTTGAGGTAACAACCAGCTGCTCACTCCTCTTTTATAGGCTTCTTTCTCCTCTCTCTTTTTCTATCCCAAGACATGTAGCACTTTGGTCAAAACCAAGATGGTTACAGCTTGGCAATATAACTGCTAAAAGGGTTTGGCTGAAGTCACAAAATGTAGAGTTTGCTGATATGCTCTGTCATGCATTCTCTGATAACAGTGTTCAGTTATCTGTGAAGAATACGAAGCAACATACCCTAATGATTTTCAGTATGTGTCTCTGAAACTATGTGAGCATCTATGAAACTATGTGGCCTTGTAGTGCTATCTAGTGCTTAGGATTTAGCGGTTCTGGAGCAGGAGGAAGCAGCCCAAGCTGTTAGCAACATGGCATCCTCTGGTAAAAGGAAAAACCTGCTTAAGAGTTTGAATGGACTTCTGATACTTTAGGTGAGCATGTCTTGGAGGATGTCTTTTGTGTTAATTACCTGTGTAGGTCTTTGTTCAAGCAAGAAGCCTTGGCTCCAGCTTAATGGACTGGTCCTCTTTTCAAGCAGTCCATACATATGATCCAAACAGTATTTTTGTGGATAAGTCTGTTCCAGGTGGAAAGATTGCAATGCAGAATCCTTTCTGCAAACAACCTTTCTAGATTAGAACATGCTCTGTTCTCTGTTCCTCCATAGCAGTGTCAGTGTACTCTGAGTAAACATAAACGTAGGCTTTGGGTTCAGATTCTTTCCATGCATCCAGAAAGGAGTGTATGGCCAAGAGGTGGCACAGTTCAGGTAATGCTTACCTCCCAAACCGAGTATCTCATGAGCAAGACAGCCTGCTTCTGAGGACAGACTGGTATAGGGATGGTGGATTATCTTGGGAGAGATACAGTTAGAGCATCCATATAGGTATTCATACATCCCACCAAAGAACAGTTTTGAGCCCTTGTCAACAAGAAGATAACTATTTTTTCAGTGATTTGGTCTTCCTAGAGCCCTCTCTGTGGACAGAGCTCATATTGAAACAAGCTGGTGCAGTTCTGTTGCATTGTTGCACATGGTCCCCATTCATGCTCCCATAAAATCTGGTTACCTGTTTTGCTAGAAACAGCTGCTGTTTGTGAACTTGCACCAAGTAGTAGGATCAACTGTGGCATTTTGTGTGTCTGTGAATGAAGTTCCCTACAAGTGTCTTTCTGCTAGAACAAAGTAATTTACATCCAACAGTAGGAACCTGCAGCCTCCAGAGATAGACTGATATAATAAGGGATATAATAAGGTAAATATATTAGAGGTAGGTCCCTTCTAGCTAACACTTCTGTGAAGTGCATATAAAGCCAGTGTCTCGAGTAGGACACAGCCAGTTTGGAGACTCTACCTTTTCTATCTTAGAGCATCTTTTTTGCTGTAACTGGGCAGTTTCCTCCATTAGAAGAGACTGCCTACACCTTTGTCTCCATGGAGCGCGTCTTGGGGTGGCTGACAGGACAGATGGATCTGATGGTGAAGGGTCACGTGTGTAGTGTGGTCATGTTCTGTTTTCCAGGTCAAATCTTCCTGTTTGTATGCATCCCTGCCAGTGACTAATCCCTGAGCGTTGCATACAGAACAGGCTCATCCAAGGGAGCAGGATTTAGTACTCATATTTAAAGAAATGAAAGATATTTCTAGTGCTTGTTCAGCTTGTTCTTGACACACCTTTCCAGAACAGGTGCTAGGTACTATTTTGAAGTCTTAGTAAAATTTAAGAAACAGGCTTTGCTCTTGTCTTAATTTATGAAATGCTTCCTTAGCACTGAATTCCACAGTTGCCCACTTCAGTTGCTCTACTGCATCCTGGTCCTGCAAGTCTTAACACAGTGGCCTCCCTCCCTCAGGGTGAGATTGTACAAGAAGCCCAGGGTGACTTTGTGTTTGTGGTGAGAAATTCCAGGCATGCTTCTCCTGTGACCATTGTTCTCTTGCTATTTGCAGGCTGAACTAACTTTCAGTGCCGGAGACATTATCACTGTGTTTGGGTCCATGGACGATGATGGATTCTATTATGTAAGTACAGGGATTGGGAAGGTCCTGTGGCTATATCTGAAATCGCTGGAGTCCATCTAGTGGCAGGAGAGCAGAAATCGGGGAACAAAATATTCTGCTTTTGGCAAAAAAAATAAGCCCATATCTACGTAGTGCAGGGCAGATAGTTTCTGGCAGTCCATGCTGCTCCTGTAAACCCAATATCCAAATGGTTCTGAGTTTATTTCTTGGCATAACTTGACTGCAGGTTTCCCAAAGCCCAAATGCATTTTTCTGTACATATATCAGCTGAATCAGCGTCTGCTATAAGCTGATTTGTCATCAAGCACTCAGACACATGGTCTCATCCAGGGCAGGAGGCTAAAATGGTAACATGAGAATAAAAATGTATGATGACCCCCATCCAGCAACACTTCAATGTATCAACTTCATCAAGCACTGGTATCTGTTTAATTTACTGTGCATACTTGGGGACTGTGCCTGCCAGTGAGCTGTGTGCTAACGCAATCCTTGGCCCTTGGATCATCCACTTTTTCCTGCACAGAAGGCTGTGTGTCTTCACACATCAAAGTTCAGGTTCAGCTCCAGGTAAAGTCTGGAGAGATCACTGTGAATGTTTTGTTTGACTTCTTTTATAGTGTTGGCCAAACAACATTGCTGGGGTTGTTTTTGTCTCACTGAACCACCTACTGTTGAACTGGAGACGATTTTTTAGGAATAGAGCCAAGCTTGGTTTGTAGCTCTGGACTTCAGTGAGCATTGAGCCAATGCCTACAGGACATTGTACCAGTAGTACCTCATTCTTTAAAGAAAAAAAACCAAAACAAAACAGAGAAAATCAAAGGCCTTTAGAAAGCTTGTGGCACAGTCATATTCCACTTGCTTGCAGGATAGCAGTGGAAATTTTTTGAGTTTGTACAAGTGACCATGTTGCTGGAATACATTTGTCATGGATTGCTGCCACCTTTTCTTTACTCTCTTCTGTTTTTTGCACTCTGAGTTGTTCCACAGCTAAGCAAGAATGTGAGTCCTGAAATTTGCTGAGGATCCTCCCAACATGTATTCCTGGGCTTCTCTCAGGCCATAGTGTAGCCTTCTCTGCATGGGCCTGCTCCTCTATCTGTTATTTCTCCATCAGCCAGGAAACCTGATGTGAGAGCTGAATGTTGATCTTGCAGGGAGAGCTGAACCAACAGAGAGGTCTTGTCCCATCTAACTTCTTGGAAGCTGTCACTTCTGATGGAGGCATGGTCGAGGAACGTCATTCGAAAGATAAAGAAGCTTTTCCGCTGAGTGCTGAGAGCCAGGTAAGGTTGTGTGACACAACAGACATCCAAACTGTGATGTGGCTGTAGACTGGGCATTGTGCCGCATGCAGCATCTGATAGTATCATTTAAATTATTGCATGCAGCTCAGTTTATCCCGTGGGAGACACTCAAAAGTTTAGAGGGGAGTGCTAGAAGCACTTCTTGAAGACTTGCCTGTAGTGCAAAAAGAGGCATAAAGCCACAGTGTCCATTGGGCCCTCATTATGGTCAGGGTAGCAAAGAGCATTCCAGGTCCTACCAGCAAATTCTTTAGATCCACAAAAGGGTCAGTGATGAAACCCCGCTGCAAGAAAAGCAGTTCAGCCAGCTCCCCAACACATGAAATTCCTCTGGTATGCTTATATCCATGCCAAAGAGTTCTGAACTTGTCAACACCCAAACACCAATGTTCTTTCCACCCATCCTTGAGTTAGATCTATTTTGATCCAGTCCAAGCTGCTTTCAGACAAATTCAAAAGCACAGTGGGGAGTTTCCCAAACAGATCTGTGGGATGGATCCTAAGGCTTTGAGAGCAACCCACAAATGCAGGGAATTCTAAGGTAGAGCTAACCCCTTGCATTATGTTGCTGATACTTTTGAAACAAATGCTTAAGCAGGAAATTTGGGTTGTCTGCCAGATTCAGTTTGTCCTCAGTGGGTGAGATAAAAAGTGTGGCACCTCCCTGGTCATTCCTGGACCTCTGTGGTGTGTCATTCTAGAGAATGGGAGGCAGGGAGGGACACAGCTTGGTCCCAGCTCACATGTGCTCAGCCTTCAGTTCTTGGGAGGTTATTGGCACTGTCAAGTGGTGCCAGACCCATAAAAGTTTGTAAGAGCAGGCCCAGATTGGTTTTGAACTAGTCCTTAAGGAAGTATATGGCCCTGAATCCTCCTCTGTAGAGGAGGATTCTCCACTGGTGCCTCCCTAGCTTTCCTGCTCTCTGCAGCATTCCGTGACCTATTTTTCATGCTCAGCTCTTCCTTTTCTCTGTACTTACCTACCATCTCTATCTTCAGATACGGCCCGATACCCCTTAGGCTTCACCTACAGCCCCATCTCTTGCTTCCAAGCATTTCAAGCTTTGTGGGTACAGGGTCTGCACTGCAGCCTCAATGCCTTCTTATGAAGAGCAAGTGGCAGGCCTGACTCAGAAATAAGGTTTGTGGGTGGCTTGCCTGATCACCTTCTGAACTCAGAAGTTGTCTGGGTCCCTTGTGCTTACCTTTTTAGGATATTTAGTCCCTTTTCTCCAGCCCATAAGTGCTGGCCCGTGCTGGGGAATCAGAGGTTATTTAGATGTTGTTACCAGGGTTTAAGAGCCCTGAGGTTACACAAATCTAACTTTCCTGGGGGAAACAAGCATTAAGAGTGGGTTTCCTTCTTCAGTTTCCCTCTCAAAATTATTTACTCTTCGCAAATTACTCATCTGTTAGAATACAGGGTGCCAAAGGAGACCTGAACCAGTAAAATGAAAACAGGTTGAGTTCATAGTGTAGCTTATTACCTATAAGGGATCCAACCCTCCTCTCTGGCATCAACCACCAGCAGCAAGGGCCCATTTCAGATGCCAGGGGTCATTATTCCAGCCCAAGCTTGAGTCCTCCCAGAGACCATAGGATAATTCAGGTAACTTTCAGGGCTTGGATAGCTGATCTACCACTTGTGGATGTGAACGGTTTGGCTTCACATGGTGTTTTATGGATGTTTTATTAAATGGTGTTTTATTAAAGGCAGGTAAGAGAGAGCAACTTGGCTGATAAATAGGATAACATATACAACAAATCTGCCTTTACTTCAAGTATTCCTATTTGCATCTCTCTCTTTTGTTTTACTGCTGAGGAAACTGTGACACCAGTTTGGTCTGCCGTGAACCAGGCTTTGTCACGGACCTCACAGGGTAACAAGGTCCTGTCTGCTCTGCTGCTGAGCAGACAGCATGAGCTGCTCCTGTTTTCTGCCCTTGCAGCATGCTGCTGCTGCTCTACTTCCCTGTCCCCTTTCCAGTGGTGCTGGGTTCAGCGGTGGGTGACTGTTCCCCCTGGACACAGCAGTTTGGCCCAAATATCCCCACATGCTCACGGCTGTAAGGTTTTTTCCTGTGGTTCATGACACCTTTTTTTTTTTTAACAGAAATGCCTTTCAAATGTAATGAAAACAACCCATATAAAATAGACATGTTTCAGGCTTGCCTACCCTTCAGACCTTTCCATTTGTCATCACTTCTGTCTGCCAGACATCCAACAGAACTTTCCCTTGCCTTGACTCTCACTTTGGCTCTGTGGAGCAGGAAGCTGTTGCCTTAGGGTCAGGATCAAGTTTTGGTACATGGCTGATCCGTGAGATACTACCTGCATAGTTTGAAGTCTGGGGACTTGGAAAATTCAGTTCATGATGATGAAGCCAATTTTATTTCAGTGGGAATCCACATTAACTATCTAGGCATGACTTTGTTGGCTGCTTCTGTGTAGTGACAGACTGCCTCGGGTCCTGCTGCCTCCCTGCTTCGCCAGGACATCTGCCCTGTGCGATTCTGGGTTAGCACTCTTCAACTATGTGCAGTCCTGCCCTGCCTTCCTGCTTGTGCTTTGCAATCCAGATCTATCTAAACAGCTTCCAAATATGAAGGGCATGTTTGCCCACTTTTGAAAGCGGTACGTTTACCCTGCTCATAACCAAACTTGTATTAGTTAGCTACATTTAAGTATGGTTAGTGATTACTGAGGAGAGACAGAAGTTGACCCCACTGAGTTTTTGGCTCTGTCACAGCAATCGCAACATCCCTAAAGAATGAACACCTGATGGGTAAGGCAGAAGGAGCACCTCCTCCCGTAAAACACAGATATTCTAAGGGCCATCCCTGAGCTGGAATGAACTCTTACAGGAATACAGCTGTGCCTGGGGCTTTCCACACCCCAGCGACATAGTCACTCCATGGACTTAAGGAGCTTGGTTATTAAAGTGTGTTGCCAGCCTATAAAACAGACAAAAGCACCTTTGCTGCTGCTGTTTGGGATTTGGGGAGTGGGGAGTATGCAAAAAATACGCATGGCAGCCTCTACAGAAGTATTGTTTGAATCTTCTGAAAGACAGCATGGCAAAACAGACGCCTGTCAACTCGGTCTCAGCTTGAGACCTAACACATCAGTGAGCAGGTGTATGCACCATGGTATCATGGAAGAGCTTTGGATTTCTGTTAAAGCTAGTTCCAATCTTAACAGAAGCTTCTCCAGCATGATCATGAGTGATTTTTAAATCACTTGTAACTTCTTGGATTTGATGTTTTCACGCTGTCTGTTCTTCACACTTCCCTTCTCCCTGCTGCTTGTGCCAAAGGCCTGAGAATAAGGATAGTTTATTTGCCTAATTGAACTGGGGAAGGTGGATCACTTTGAATTATTTATGAGTAAATCTTAAAATGCTGGCAACTGAAAAAGGTGAAGCAGTTTAACTTTCACACTGACAACACATGGGGAATAGACTAAGCAATAAAAAATACAGCACAAAGAGGAGTATCCAAGAAGTTATGATCACAAGTTAGGGCTCTGAAACTCTCACGCTTATCAACTTAGAGCGGTTGCTTTAATGCTGCGGCTGTCAAATGAATATTTTTGCATCAGTAATATGCAGTTTCTGTCAAAGACTGATTGTGAAGCACCTTCAGAAAGTGTTGGATTCTAATTGATTTCATGTATTTATTTCTGCCTGTGTTATGCACCCGTGACGGTTCTTTTCTTCAGAGAATGAGGAAGAGAAGAGTCCAGTGATAGATATGAATGATACATAGAGAGAGAGCAACCATGTAAGTTTGTGTGAGAAGATCTCTTCAATCTCCCACCCAGCCTAGCATATTAAAGGGTCCCGCACCTGCAGTTTACTCACTTTCTTGCTTGTAGTTTGACAGGCTGGTTTGGGGCTCTGCTAGCAAGTCCAGCTTCAAATCCTCTGGTGCCAGACTTTTAGCTGCCAGATTGGTTCTGTATTAAAGACAAGCTGTGATCTGTTCAGAATATGAAGTGCAATTGTTTGGAACAATTATCTAGTGGTTTTGGGGACGGTGATGGGACTGTGCTGGATATTCAGGTTTAGAAAAGACCTGCTTTGTAATTCAGCTGGGACCTTCTACCACTGTTCGAGCACATCAACAGCCAAAGCTACATTTAACTTTTGCAAGATCCTGCTCAGGCTGAGCACAGCCCATATTCAGCCTGTGGTTTTTTTCTTCTTGATTTTTCTCCTTCCTGAATATAGTCCTGAAAAACCTCTGTACACCATCAAATTCAAGGAGTAACATTGAGTCCCTAAAACCAACCTTGTGTGGATAATTGTTCTGTTTGATAACACTTAAAGAAACAATTCTGGGGCTGGGGGCGGGGTGAGACCCCTGTTTTTGGCGGGCAGTGGGACCAGATCTGTGTTTTTTCTTAGTTGCAAATATTGTTTTCTTGAAATTGTGCAAATCAGCAATACCTGAGACAGCACTGAAAACCTCCCCCTGAAAACTAACATGACTCTTCTGATAGCTTTTGTCAGGATCTTGACAGAGCAATCTTTTCCTTCATGTTTCTCTTAGGGAAGAAACCCTAATTTTAGTATTATTTGTCTCTTACCAGATGAATCTGTGAATTGGCTCTATTGCTTTTCTGCCATATAGAGACATCTGAGAACATTCGCACGTGCTTGTGTGTGAGAGTGCCTCTGTGTGTGGAGATCTGCCTGGGCATCGTATACCACAGCTGGGAATCAGCAGGACTTTCAGCCACAAAGACAGGAAACTGCTAGTCACTTTCTTTTAACCGTTTGATATTTGATAATGACGTTGATACTGTAGTATCCTTGTTGCAGTAAATAATTGCGACATTTGTGAGTTGGCCTGGATACCTGCCTCTCATTTTGCATGCAGTGTTTCATGCATAACTCTACAGGAGAAATTTTATAACGTTTGTTGGGTCAATTCAGATCTGCCCTAAACCTGTCGCACCTTTGCCAGAAAAATGGTTTCTGGTGATGGCATGGGCATGGAGCCTCCGCTGCCCTGGCTGCACAGGGGCCTTTGCTTTGCTCCCACGTCCTTTGGGGCTGCTGAGCCAGACAGCCCAAGGCCTGAGCTTCGTAGGGGAGATCAGTCACTGCGTGTGGGTGAGACGACGCCTTCTGATGTTAGCCCAATCCTTTTGTGCATTGTATCCAAGGATTTCTTGTTGCACAACACATAAATAGCTTCTGGAGCAGAACCCAGGGATTCTTAACTTTTGCACACAGCTAACCCAGGAGACTACAAAGTTAGCCCTCATCTGGCGTACTTTTTCTCTTTGCCTCCATAAATCTTGAATTACTGTCTGAAAATGGTTCATCTAGTTTCACTCAGATTTATTTCCAGACTTCTCAGACCTGACTAGCACTTGGGCCATCCACACCAAGTGTTGCACCTTGCATGTGCGTGTTGCCAGGAAATACAAAGATTGCAATTGATGCTGCAGCGTTAGTTGGAAGAGTGGACCTTGCAAGCAGAGTGCAGCTTTCAGAAGGGCCAGGCTGTGCCATCAAGCCCTTTGCAGCATGTCTTTGGCAGTAGCTGGCCTTTCAACACAGTGCTGCATATCTGGACAGTCGTAGAAGTGCCTCTGAAAGTGTGTGGAACAAGATTTCCAGGTGAAAATAGTGTGAGAGTCTAGGAAAAATCAGCCACTGTATTTTTTACTGTAATGAAGAGGAGTGGAGAGGAGTTACATCTCTGTCCCTGTAGCGAGACCTTCGTTGATGTAAGGGAGAGTCTGATGGCACTGTCACTTGGGACAGTTTAAAGTGATTGCTGCACAGCAGTAGTTGACTCTCAATTTTCTGGAGTTGGGAGGGGTTGTATATTCACACCAGAACAGAGCCCTCTAAAAGTCCTTACTCCTGTCTGCTTAGGACCTACTTGACAGGTATTGCACATACTGAGTCTTGACTCTAGAGAAAAGGCTTCTGCTCATCTTATACCAGAAGTGCTTTCTTCCTGCAGCAGAGTGAAGCGACTGGAATACAGCAGCATAACTTCAACCTGTGAAGGGAGGAGAGGTCACAGCTGCTTTTTGTGCTCTTTGTCACACAGGAGGTGGGATGCTGAAACAGCAGCAGGGTGATTGAGCAGCGCTGCTTTTGCTTTTGACCCCAGGAAACTTGAAGTAAACTAACCCACAGCCCATAAAGTATGATTGTGCTATAGTTAAATCATTAATGTTCTGTCTGTGCCTCTGCTTGATTCAGCAGCTTTCCCCAGGCGCGGTGTGGGACCAAACCCGAAGCTCATCCACTCCTGCCAGTGATCTACAAACAGCTGCTGTGATTCTCTCACATTTTCTGTGCAGGGCTAATGTCGTTGCTCTTTGGTAATGCTTCCTCCCCAGGCAGAGCATCCTGCTGCCAGTGTGACTAACTTCTCTTCCCCCTTGGAGCTGTGCCTGCTTACAGACCCTTAGGGGCATGTGCTCAACTCTCCCTGACTTAGTGGGACCCAAGCAGAGACATGGGGCTAAACCACGACATGAGAGCCTGATGCTTCAGTGTGCCAAGGACTCTTCCTTGTGCTTTTTGGGGAATGCCAAGGTAGGATGTACAGCTGGGAGCTTGGAAGACACTGGTTTGTGAAAGCTGTCTGGAAAAGAAGGCAGTGGGACAAGTGTTCTCCTAGGCCTCTTCCCTGGTGGACTTTGCAACTTCCTGGGAAAGCTTGCCCTGCCAGATCAGAAATGATCACTGTCTGGACACCTAACTCCAGCAAGAGGAGATCATGGAAAGAAGGCTGCTGCTGGGAACTGACCTGCCATTAGTATTTTGTGAAGAGGAAACAGATCCCAGGACTAGGGCACTTTCTGACTTCTAAAAACCCTTTCCCAGAGGAGCAGCATACAGTGCATCATTTGGGACTGTGGATCCCAGCTAACATTCTCAAATCTCAGGTGACTTAAGAATGTGTGTCAGTTGCTGTGTGCCACTTGATCCAAGACTTCTCCATGGCCTGCTCCATCATGAGCTTTTTCTACACTATTGGTGCCATTGCAGAATGGCAATGCAGTTGCTTTCTGCCCCTCCTGCAACTAGATCTGATGGATGCTGAGCAACCCTGCAAGGCTCTGAATTTCTGTTCTGACCATGGTGGAGCATGGCCACTGTTGCAGAAGCCTCTCAGCTTAGCCAGCCTCCTTGAATGTCTGAAGGTCTTGCTACAACCCTTGCTCTTACTAGGTTGATTTTTCTCTTAATGACCTGCCTTCTGTCCCAGAGTGTGCTGGGAGCCCACCAGGCTCCCCCGGCCCAGGCAGCCAGCAGGCATACAGGGATGCATCAGTATCTACCCATCTGTGCTCTCAAGAGATGCTTCACTTATAGTGTCTTCAGCTGTGAGGCAGCATCTTTCATCAAGTCCTCAGCTGGGCTTTTCTGCTGTCCTATTCTTAGCCCAAAGTTATGTCTCAGCTCAGGCAGGGTCTGTGTAGTGAGTACAAAAAGTTTAAATCCACTTCCTAACTGAATCTGCAACTGCACCGAGGAGCTGAGCCTTGCAGGGTGAGAGACGGACTGGTGGGGAGAAAGCAGGGTTCTCTGGCTGAGGTTTATGTTGCCATGTTGTCCTTCATCGGCTCTAACTTCTGTTTTTTCTTTTGTTTTCTCTTTTTCTCACTCAGTTAAATCCAGATGGGTCTGTTGATCAGAGCAACTCCTCACCAACTCCTACTCTACCACCTTCCTGCCTTGTCATGGGCAAGCAGTGTCCAGAGCAGGCATCGCTGACCGTTCCCAAACGCAGTGATGTACCTGGTCAGAGTGAAAAGAAGAGAGGCTTCTTCTTCAAAGGAAAAAAGCTCTTCAAAAAACTTGGGTCCAGTAAGAAAAATTAACAAGAGATTTATTGTTCTGTAAAGACTGCCTGTGCAGTCCACACAGGGACTGAAAATTCAGGAGAAGCCCTCTGCAATAAGCTGATGAGAGTATTTTCTTAGGGGAAAAAGTGTATATTGAATAGAGAAAACTCTTCAGTGGGTCTGTCAGCTGTGGTCTCTGCTGAGAGCCCAGCTGTGGGTGCCCACTGAGTGTGGGCAGTGGCTCCGAACACAGTGTCATGGCACTGGGGTGTGTGAGGCCTCAGCTCTGGGATACAGCTACCTCCACAGTAGTGTGTCCTGCTCCATGCAGCCCCCAATGCACCGGTTCCCTGTAAATATTTTAATTTAAAAATTACATTCTGGCTGTAAGTTAGCTAAATGGCTTTTCCCAGCAAAGCCCTGGTCCCTTAGGAAGAGCTCCCTTATACTACACACCCTGGTATCTCTCTGGTCCAAAGGAGGTTGTGTCAACTCCTTCACTTCCCGCAAAGAAAATTTGCACTTTTCTGTTCCCGTGAATCCCCTTTGCTGTCTCTGGGCTGATGAGTGAGTTATTTGTACTGTAAACCTGTAAATATGCAGCTGTGCCTAGGAGCATCCTACACTGCCTCAGTCATGTTTCAGCACGAGGATTCCCATGGAGGAAGGAGCGGTACCCTGAAGGGGGTCGGCACTTCTGCCTATAGCGTGGGCTGATGTACGCTGCTCTTGGCTGGTTCACCTTGACCACACGCTGGCTGGGGACTCCGCCTTATTTATTTATTTATTTATTTATCTCGCTATATCTATCTATCTATTTATTTTTTGTCTGCCTCTTTCACAGTTTTATTTGGCTGTTTCAGTGGGCTGCTCCTGAGTTGGAGCATTTGGAGAGCAGAGCTGGGGATGGAGAGTTTGCAGCTATTTTCATATGAAATGATGTGTTCCTTGAGTTAAGACACATCCCTTTCTAAGCCACGGAGAGTTTTGTACTACATGGTTTCTATCCTTTTCAGTGTTTCTTTCTTTGCATGTTTCCGTGTTTTGAGAAGGACAGTTATGTGAGGTACGTGAATGATGCCAGCACAGTGTCCACGAGTGTTGGTGATATGGTATGTTTTTATTTAATATCAGATTTTATTATAATAAAGTCTATTTTCACAAAAATACATTTTTCCTTAAAAAAACAAAAGATTCAGTGATGCTTCTTCCGGGGGGAGGTGGCAGAGGGGAAAATGATGCCAATCACTTGGACCTTGAGGATGCTCTGCAGCACTTCGTATAGGAGCCCACCTTTCCTGTGCTCATGGTGCGAGCTACCTTCTCTGGGAGTGAAGTCTTTGCCTCTCCTGTTTCAGAGACCTAATCCTGGAGGAGAAAGCACCGAGGTGCAGTTACATGGTGTTATACTGTGCCTGAGTGCCACTATACCATGTCCAGACCTCTGCTGGACATGCACGTAGCTCTGCTGCGCTGCCTGGGTGGCTTCATGCAGCATTAGTCCCTGGATGTGGGCACTAGACCTCTTCACTGTGGGTGCCACCTGCACAGCCAGCTTTCTACCCCCAATTCCATTCCCGGCTCTTCGGTGCTACCTGTGTGTGGGTGCTCCTGGATGTGCAGCGAAGGGCACGGGGCTGAAGTGGCTGTCCTGATAACTAACACCTTCTGCAGAGGGCTTGCAGGTCAGCAGGGAGGGTCGCTGGGCCCAAGGCTGCCAGCAGCACCCGGGTGATGCAGCTACACTCACACTTCCCTGCTGTGGCGATGTAGCAGAGCAGTGAAAGCAGCATCACGTATGGTGGCTACATCCGGACCACGGTCTTTTTGTTCCCTGATGATTACGCTTTTAGAATAGAGTGAAATTTAAGAGGTCAATGATGGGTTTTGTTACAAGCACAGCTTTTACTTTTTAAGTTTCAGATGCTTTGGCATTTTCCATTTTTTAATTGGTGCCTCCACAGGGAGCTATCTTCAAGCCAGTCTAGGAGCACATACCTGTGGAGAACATCTGTGTATCCCTTGCAGATGTTGGCTGCTTTTCATGCTGTGCTGACAGGGCAAGTTGGCAGGGATAGACCAACTCGCTGCACTTACTGTTTCTTCTGACACAGCCACTGCTGTGCTCAGGGAGAGACTGAGATGATAATCTGCTTCCTCAGAGCAAATGGCCCCAGTAGAGACCAGCCTCATCACAACAATCTTGTAGGTGGAACCCACAGTCCACTTGCAGGCTTCCTAAACATCTGATGCAACTCCCAGAGAGTCCAGCCACATCTCGTGCCAGCAGTGACTGGTCCATTCCAGCCAGCAGGTCCTGTCCAAGCACCGCCAGCAGCTCTCAGAGGTTGTTGCAAGGGTCTTCTCCCATGTTTCTTGTCCAAGAGATTAACAGCCTGCTGCTAGGAGCCCTGAATAGCTCTAATTCTAAGTGCCTAGAGAAGAGGCTTTGCTGCCTCTGTGTCTCTCAGTTTGGGGTTGTTCTGGGGACTGCTGTCCTATGCAAAAGTCTAAATGTGTATTATCAACAATGCTGTTGTTATTGGGGTTGGTTTTTGTAGTGCTACCACAGAAGACACACAAAGTCTTGGGCTACTCAATGTCCAATCCTGTGTGGACCTGCTCTAGCTGCTCCATTCCGCAGGGTCTCAACCTTGTGTGGTCTCTCTGATCTGGCAAGAGAGGAGTGGAGATGCTGGAGACAGACTGAGTTTTCTTCCAGTGTTGCTAGGAGTTGCAGTTTTTCTGCCTATTTGCCTAGATGATGTCTGGAACTGAGCAAAGCTGCTGCCTGTGACATCTGACCCCAGAAAAGGAGAAGGAAAATGGTGGTTTCCCCTCTCATCCAGTTGGAACAGCTCAGCTGGATGACATTCTTTATATTTTTCAATATACTTTGGGTAAAAGAGAGGAGAAATAAGGAAACCCCAAAAGCTCTGAGGTCAGACCGCAAGTCTTGGCTCTGTACCTTGCTCTTATTGAGTAGTTGGTGCCTCATAGTGGAAACGTGAGCACTTGAAACTGCGGTCCGCAGTGTTTTGTGGGGCTCTGCGAAGGCCACTGGCGTGTACATGTTGGGTCAGTTGTGTGGAGTGGCAGTTCTGCCCTCGGTCCTCTGGCAATCCAGCCAAGGTGCCAAAAGTCACTGTGGGCTTTTCTGGGGATTTTGCAGGATTCCCCTGACAGGAGGGACTCGGCTGGGACGCTGCCGCACCTTAGAGAAATGTTTTGGGAGGATCTTGATTTTGCAGCGAACTACTGTCTCCTGGACAGGAGTCGGGGCAAGGACGGATTGAAAGTTTCGAAGTAATAAAGTTGCCGTGGCTATGAATGCTGGAAGGAGCTTCCATGACCTCTGAAGAAGACTTCAGCGATGAAAGTCATCAGCGACCCAGCCCTTCATCTTCGGTTTGCCCTTCCCGGAGGAAGTTGGTTGCTGTTCTAACCGAATTTACCAGCTGGAGTTTCCTAAGCGAGTTGTTTAAGGTCTTTTGAAAGAAACTGTCTGTCGTTGCTTTTATTGGTTCATCAGGGACGAACTGCAGAAGAAAACCCTTAGGAGGAAAAGCAGTGGCTGTAACGTTCTGGGGTCTGCCCAGAGCCAGAGGCCGTGCCGGCGGGATGGCTCCCTGCCCCTGGTGCTTCCTTCCTCCCTCCTCAGCTGAGCCCTTGGGACAGAAGGTGCATGTTGTCTCTCTGCTCCCCAGGCACGCGCTGGGCGGCCTCCGGGGCTTTTTTGCTGTGATAGACACAGACTCTCACCATTTAGCAAAGTCACCCTAATTCAGTTGGTCCCCCGACCCCAGGCAGGCTTCACAGCAAAGCTGAGAGAAGTCTTCTTGAAAAAAGGTTTAACACCTTCAGGCTTTGGTAGCTAAATGCAAAAGGCTACAAGAAAGAAAAAAAATAAGATAAAATGCAAATATAATTTAGATGTTCTGCTTTGCACACTCTGCTTTTAACTGCTGTGCTGTATCCCAGGCGTTGATGGCACGTCTCTGCTCTGAGGCACTATTGCTGTCATCGACATATTCTCGTTTCCTGACTAGAGGAGCAGCACGTGGGCTCTCCTTTGCTGCTGGACGTGGTGAGCACGAGGGGTTGGCCCTGGCGTTGATGCTCAGCAGAAGGTTCACCCAGACGCATGTCCTTTCCCGTACACAGTTATCTGGGAGCAGGGTCATGGTCTCCCGGGAAAGTGAGCACTCGAGACAAAGCATCTCTCAAAACCTCCCACTTTCATGGTTTCTGAAGCAGTTTTGAGAGCAATTAAGTAAGTTCCTAATTGTGAAATGCACTAACTGTCTCACTAGCCTTTGAATAATCCTTATCCTCTTCTAACTGGTGAGCTGCATGATCCAGCAGAGGAAGCACGCAGACAACGGCTTCCAAAATCTGCCAGCTCTGCCCCTTTGCACAAGAGCAGTGCTGCGCTCGCCGTTGTGCAAGCAGCTGGTGCTGGGGGCAGCTCAGATACGCTGCTTCTGTCTTGAACAAGCTGAGCTCACAGGGTCACAGCAAGGTGTGGGGTGGGGGCACCTCCTGAGTCTCCGGTGTGTGTCCCCCGCCCACAGCAGGGCTACCTCCAAGGCCAAGGGAGGTTGCCTGCAGTGTTGTGCAAGCGTTGTCTCCAAAGGTGGAGATCCCCCCACGTCCCTGAGCCCCGTCCCAGCACTGCATTACTCTCATGGGTGGTTTTCTCCGGTCTAATGGGAATTTTCTTTGCAACACCACATGCCCGTTGCCCCTCGCGCACCTCAGAAAAGGCTCTGGCTCTCTCTGCTCTACAGCCCCCCATGAGACAGTTGAAGCCAATGGTGAGGTTCCTCTGAGCCTTCGCCCCTCCAGGCTGACCAAACCCAGGTTTCTCATGGGCTCTAGGTGGATTCCCTCTAGTTTGTCAAAACCTGTCTTGGACAGGCGTCTGCAAACGGGCTCCGTGCTCCAGGTGCAGCCCCACCTGTGACTCGCTGCAAGATTCGCGGTTTGCTTTGCAGATCTTCTTTAAAGCACTGAAGGACCAAGACAGGGCGTCAGAGGTACGGCAAGTCATCCAGCCTCGGGGACGGGGACAGTGTCACTGCTAAGGGCACTGTACAACCGCTGCGGTTCCGGGAGTGCCCCACGCAGGGAGGAGTTCAGCTGAGAGACCTTCATTTAGCCCCCCCAGGGGACCACCAGAAGAGACTTGGGTGGTCCCAGTCCGTGCTGCTAAACCAGAAACTGTCACAGAAGGAAAAACAGAATTGCGACGCGCGAGTAGTTAGGAGCGAGCTGGGGGGCAGCGCTGGTGAGCGCTTCCTTTGCTTCTCTGCACACCAGCTTGTTCAAGCGCACCGTTGGCGCTGCCGCGGTGTCCCGTGGCGGATGGACAAACACCGTGACACGGCACGCGTCTGTCCATCAGCCAGGTCTGCACTCAGGGAGAGGGGCTGTGGCCGGGGGAAGAGGTGGTGCTTTGCGAGACGAGCTCCCGGTGCAGCGGCACTTTGGGCAAGGGTGAGGCCCTGCCTGAGCTGGCCTGTGCTCAAGATCATCTGGAGGTTGGTGAAGCCTGTCCAAACCGCCATCCAGGCGCCTCCTCCTGCTGCTCCTGTCTCCGCAGGCAAGTGCACAAGGCGCAGCCGTCGTGGCCCCGTCCAGACCACAACAGGGCCACGGGGCAGGGCGGGTTAGGGAGGTGGGATTGGGGGTGCTGAGCAGAGCAGACACCCTTTAGAGCTGGTGCCTCCATAGGGCGATATGAGGACATCTTGTTCGACCTTTAAGAGCAGCAAAAGATGAACCGCGCCATGGGGGAAGGAGCCCTGTCCCCGTAAGACCTCCTCGGAGGGACTCAGGACTCTCAAACCATGGCAAAGTGCTGCCTTACATCTCCCCCCCCCTCAAAAAACTGGGGAAGTTCTGCTTGAGCGTCAGGCTGCGTGTGCAGGTGGGTGCACAGGAGCCCCCCTGCGAGGGAGCTGGGCTGGGAGGTGGGTGCTGCGCTGCCTTGGCCTCATGCGCCTGTGGGGCGGTTTCCAAGCCCCATGGGCCAGCCCCACTGGGGCGCCCGCTGCAGATAACGCCCTCCTGCAGATAAAAGCGCAGGCACGGCGCGGGCCGTGGTGAGGACGGCAGGAGATCGCGGGTGAGAGCCTGGCCCATGGCACGCTTGCTTTTGCTTTGGTGGAGCACTTGTCTCTG